CAAAAAAAAAATTTTTTTTTTTTTTTTTTTTTTTTTTTTTTTTTTTTAAGGAAAATTTCTAAAAGATGCAAACTTAAATAAATAAATAAAATGAAGGTTTCCTGTGTGCTGATTTATATGTTGGTCCATCCTGAAAAGCACCATTAAAAAATATTTAAAACACCACACAAAAAGAGTTTTTGCCCTGTCCCAAATGTCTGGAATATTTTAGGGCAAATAAACAAAGATTGTTAAAAATTGGGCAGTCTTTTGTTTTTTGCTTTTGGCAGACCGTTTAAGAGCAGCTGTTTGCTGAGACTGTGTCTTCCTTTCTCACATAACATAGAAGGGGAACCTTGATTGACTGTTTTAAATGTGTCCAACCTAAGAATTCTGCTCCTGGAGCTGCTGAAGTCTTGGGGCACCTATACACATACACTGAGGCTGCTCCAACGCGCTGTAATTACAATGTGTTGGAGCAGACTTGATTAATTGAGTCTGCTGTAGCATGGTAATTACTGTGCTCCAGCAGACTCCAGTGTTGTATGTCAGCATCCCTGCACTGAAAAATGGTGTTGGGGATACTTTTTTTTAACTACAGCTTGTTCGGGCTTTAGTTAAAGTGCCCCTGCCACCATTTTTCAGCGTGGGGACACTGATGCACATTACTCTCTGGATTCTTTAATTAGAGTGCCACTCTAATTAAAGCGCCCGCCTCCCAGAGCATGTCTAGACTTTATTCAAAAATATATGAAGAAATACAAGCAGAAATGTTTGTGTCCCTTTTCTCATGACAAAGTCCTTAATTCAGTTGTGCTGCATTTGTAAACTCACATACCCTGGAAATCACATTTGCTTTTATTTACTGCTTGCTGAAAATAGAAACTAAGAGAAATAGTCACATGGGAGCTATTCAGCCCTACTGCATGCTGTGCTCTGCTTCTTTCCCTTTTTAATGCTTCTTTTAAGTAAGGACCATCAGCCTTGTTCCTCTCCCCTGGCAACAGAGCACACTAACATGGCCAGATGCATGCAGAATGTGCAAGCTAGAATATACTGTACTGCACTGTATTGCATTGTAACCTCAGCTATTTCTAGTGCTCTGACCTGGTGAGGAATTCTGCTTGTTTTGGGATTAAAAAAACCTTGATTTCTCTTTATGTTTCTCATAGTCTAGGTAGTGTTTATCCTAAGAGAGGCTGACACGCAAAGATTTTCAGGTAAAAATATATACCTTTAGGCTAGAAACAGAAATTACACATAAACTGGTGTAGGTGACCGGAAGCCGATTCAAATCTGTAACACAACAAAAGTTGTGCACTTAAACCGCTTTCAAAATGGCCGGAACCTATTTAAGATTAACCTGGATGGATGTAGTATTAGACTTAACTCATTTAGATTAAATCGGTTTATTGAACTTCTGCCCCAGATCCCCTCCAGATTCAAGATAACTCCCAGTTCTGTAGCATCCCAGAATACTTTGCATCTCCCCCAGTTTGCAGGATGGGCAGGCTAGCTTTGGCCCAGCTGTCTTATCCAGCTGAGCAGGGAGGTGTGCTCTAGTGCCCCTTGATTTCTGGTCTAGGCTGCTGCAGGCATGTCGCTGCATTTCCAGAATCAAAAGTAAATGTCTGTTCACTTGCTTCTGGTTCAATTTATGCAGCTTCAAGTAATCTGTGAAGATTGAATCTGTTCAGCCTCTGGCCTTTTTGACTGTTTGTACTTAGCCCTATAGACTAACTAAATAAGATTATTTATGTATGTGGGGCACAAACTTTCATGAATCCCAGTTCGTTTCATCAGATGCTTGGGTTCATAAAAGCTTGTGCTCTCTTGTATGTAATCTTATTTAGCTATTCTGTAAAGGTGCATATCTACCCGGCCTTCTGACTGACTTCAGACTAATACGACTAACTACTACTTCAGGCAGATTTTTACGTACCTGGACAATCTTCCTTGTAATTGCATTTTAAGTGTTCTTTTGCTGAGAAACCTTTAACATGCTCTTGAATGACAGAATGAAGATAAGACGCATCCTTTTCTCTCTCAACTTTTGTAAAGCCTTTCTTAAAATCTTTTACTAACCACTTCCTGACTAGGAGAACAGTCATTCCTATCACTGCAGTTCATACCAAAGGTTGTCCTATACCATCCTCTATGAATGGGATAGATGATGCAAAATACACTTGTGCCTTGGTTTGCATCAGGAAAGGAAGCCGTGGTATTACCTGAGCCATGAGTCTCTGATGGCAAATCTGTAAAGTGAGGCTTCCCCCCCACCCCAATGCAAAGACTTCTTTCTTTAGTCTGCCTTTGTCTGCTTTCCTTGATCTAATTAATATACAGTGGAATTATATATTTAACTTGGGGGGGGGGGTGGAGAACTCATCCTACTAAAGAGAGATACTTGGGGAAAAGACCTGATTTATCATAAAAGGGCCCTGTTAAAATAGAAAGTCTTCCAGCGTAGGCTTTCCCCAACCTTTGTAAATCCACTTGTTAGTTGCTTTAGGTTTTAAACTTAGGTTTTGGTCTTTGCTATGGCAAGCATTCAAAGTTTACTTAGGAAGAATAATTCTGCACAAAGACCTTTGGTTTGCGTGGGTGGAGTCAACCCAGTAGTTCTCTGGACTGGAGGATTTCCTGTTATGAGAAGACATTTATGAGTTAGTTATGTTTGTGTTTGCTTCTTTTTAGCAGGAAGTATTATATATCTCTTGTGCAGCAACAATCGGTCTTCATTCCAGACATCTTGTAGAATAAGCAAAACAGACAAAGAGAGATTTAAGAAAAAATATCCTAAGGGAGCAAGGATACGGTAGTCAGTAAGCACTGCTTCCTAAACCTTTTACAGCTGCACCCTACCTGTCAGGCTGGTTTCTTGTAGTTAGAGAGAGCAGAAAGGAAATGGGATGAAACGCTGCCATTTCCTTCTCATCACTGGAATATGTATAGATACTGAAATATTCCTGGCTAGTGGTGACCTCACTGGAGGGGCATTTAACCGTAACTCTGTATTTTATATCTTTTGGTGTGAAGTAAAATCCTATCCTATCGATTTTAAAATCTAACCCTAGTGGTTTACTGACACCAAAGTTTTCTGGCATTTCAGTGTTGATCAAATATTCCTTTAATGTGGTAACTCAAAACCTAATGCAACAGGTTTTTATCTAGAACAGGGAGAGACAGCTCAACTGGTAGCACGGGCCATCGTTACCCATCAGCCACTCCAGCAACCATGGGCAGAGGCTGCGGCTAGGAAGAGCAGCCCTTCTTGTGTGCTGCAGCATCTGGCTGGAGCAGGTGATCAGCCCACCATTAGCAAAACACAAACTGGATGAAACAGCTATAGAATCAGCAGGCCCTTAATAAAATGTGGACTAGATTAGATGTTTTCAGGCTAGATCTGGCCTGTGAGCCATAGGTTACCAACCCCTGATCTACAATATACCTGGCTGAAGTCAAATTTTGGAAGGAAGTAATGACCATAACTAGGTAGTAGTGGCTGTTATACCCTCTCTGTCCTTGCCTAGTATTCTGCTTCTGTCTTTCCAAATATACAGGCTCTAAATTAACCCATACAGCTATGTTTGTAAGAGTCAGTGTCCTTTGTTCACCAGAAAGTCTGCTTAACCCAATCTCCCTATTTCACTGAGGAGTTCTGTGTGATGTGGTCGGGGGATAAAGTGTCAGCTATGTTAACAGTTGTGTCTCCAGAGGTTAAATTGCATCCATGTCAAGATGGCATTATGAGGAATTGGGAGAGGTACTTGAGCAACAGCGAATAATTCTGGTCCCTTTCCTCATGCAGGACTTGGTTTGCAAGCTTGACTCTTCGTGGTACAGCACTGGAATAGAAGTGTGTGGCTTCAGTGGACACAGCGTGCTAAATCTTGAGAAGAACAAATGTGACCTAAAATAATCTAACCTTTGTTTGTAGGTCAGGCTATTCCTGCAGGGTTACATGTGCGATTAAATCTTCAGACAGGAGAAAAAGAAGCCAAACTTCCAGATAACACAAATGAAAAAAGTGACATGAAAGACCAGAAAAAAAGGAAAAGGTATGGTAGAATGAACTGCTTGCCTTTTTGCTGTATAGAGGTACATGGGGGTTTGATTTTTGTTCCTTTTATTAGGAGCAAGAGATCTCAGGGACTTTAATTGGAGTTTTGGGTGCTCAGCATTTAGACAACTGGGGCCTAACTGTGTTGCTTCCTTTTGACATAGGTAGCAAAATGCCTTTCTGATGTATTTGGAGACATGTTCATAGATTTTCATGCCATGATTCTGAAACTGAATCTGGCATGTAGTTTCTAGTAGGTATCCTTTTGTTTGTTTAAATCTTCTGTAGCAGCGGGATGAAAAATATTTTTTGAGAACTTTATGCAGAAGGGCATCTTAGAGTACGCTTTGTTTATTCTACTGCAGAGTCAGATGCAACATGTTGTTTACTTGCCAATGTGCATCAGCTCTAAGCAGCCATTTAAATGTCAGGCCTTGCTGACACGCATTCAAGATGTCACCAGCATTCACTATATCAATTTTTATAAAATTGTCTAAAATATGTTGCTTGCACCTATGTTTCCCTGTGTGCAGTTTTTACAATGACAGATTTTGTGAACGTAGGAAGACTTATTTTTCTTCAATATACTAGTGCTGCCATTCTGTGCCCCCTGCCAAGCGTGCAGAAGCTTGTTCATTTGGGGAAATCCCAGCCTTTAGGTTTCCTTTTACTAGCGCAAAAGCACATGATACCAAAATTAGTTGCTCTAAATCTGTAGGAGGAGGTTGGGGCAATTCATGGCCAGTAGCACACATTGTTTCCAGGAGAGCATGTTTCCCTCTTGATTTTTGAATTACATGCAGCCCAACCCTACGTTTTGGTTATGAGCTGGGATCCAGGTTTTCTGTGGAAAAATGCAGATTTTTTTCCTTTAAAGGAGCAAAACGTGGGAAACCATGGATTTCCCCTTATAGGCTGGCAGAGTTCCAGCCTGCAAGGGACTACTTGCCCGGGCCCGGGCCTGGGGGAAGTGGGGTGTAAGGGGCACCACATACATGTGTGCACACATGTACATGGCCAGCAGTACAGCCAGCCAGCAGCTCCTCCTGCCGGCAGATTAGTCTATGGGGAGAGGGGCACAGTGGGGGCAGTTTGAGGTGGCAGTAGCCACAGCAAGGGATGGACTGGGGCAGGGTTGGCATCTGGGGCTGGAGGCAGTGCCCGGGGCCAGAATGCACAGCTGCAGGGCCCGGCCGGGGGATCAGGACAGAGATCTGCACGTGCACCCACAGCAGGCATGTGGCTGCAGCCTGCCACCTCTGTGGCCCAGGGGGTGGGGCTAGGTACAGGATTGCAGTGCAGGGCGGGGAGGTTTGGTGCTGCTGCCAGCACTGCCAGAATCCCCATGTCAGCTGTACCACCATGGCAAGGCACCCCCTGCCCACTCAGTAGCAGTGGGGGTGGCAGTGACATGGAGTTGTCTCCCCTCACCCATCTGCTGTTGCTGGGTAGGAAGGGGGTGTGCCTCACCATGGCAGTGTGGCTGGCACAGGGCTCCCAGCTGTGCTGGTGGTGGCACCAAGTCTTCCCACCCTGCCCGCCTGCATCAGGTCCTGCCCATTGGGTTGCAGAGGCCCCTGGGTGGAGGACAGCAAGGTGGGGAGCCTGAATTGTTCCCCACCCTTGCTTCCCATGGGGTGTGCTTGGGTGTGCACCAGCTGTGCTGCCTGTGGGGTTGAGGGGCCCAAGTTCTGCTCTGGCTGTGGCAGCTGGGGCTCAGGTGCTGCTGGTCAGCTGTGGCTGGCACCCACAAAACAGAGAGCGGGCAGGATGCAGCCACTAGGTCCTATAGCTCTGGCAGCTACAAGGGGACAGGGGGCTGCAGGTTGAGAGTGAGGGGTCCTGGTGGGGATGGAAGGGCTGTGGTTTAGGAGTGAAGGGCACCAGCAGGGCCAGAGGGCTACAGGTTGGGCATGAGGGGCACTGGCAGCGATGAAGGGCTGCAGGTCAGGACTGAGGGGCAGCATCATGGGAAGGGGCAGGGGCAGAGCACTGGCATATCAGGGCTGCTCAGTGCCTTGAGGCAGTGGGCAGGGCTGGGACAGCCAGAGCTGGACCCTTGTCCTGGTGAGTGAGAGGGGTAGGTGAAGCTCTGATTTTTCCATGATGAAAAAAAAATTTGAAATTAATGCCAAAATATTTTATTATAATAATTAAGCCACTGTTAGTTTTCCAAATTGCTTTAAAATTATAAATATATCAATAAAACAGAGAATTTTGGGGGGTTTTATCAGAGAATTTGGGATTTTTAAACTGAGAAAACCAAGATCCCTGCTTCCAGCTCTGGAACTAAATGCACCCATATCTTATGAGCATATGGTCTTTGACAGTTCTGGGGACAACTGTGCTACTTTTTGTTTGTTTATAAAATATTTCCTAGTTTATATATCCCTAGATGGTAGCCAAGGGCCATAAATTGAAATTGTTTTTATTGTATGTTAGAAATTGAGATTCTGGGTTTGCATACGGCTTTTCAAAATTTCACATATGGATTTCCAAATTCTATCACAGAGGATCACCGTTTGTCATGGCAACTGTCAGTACCTGGTCCACACCAGGGAAACTAATGAACTGCCCAAACATCGTGCAATCCTATGGCTTTTATGCCACTGAGCCTACACTCTGAATCTTAAAACTTAACATTGAGGGTCTTTCAGTTGCCAAGCAAAGATCACTGTAAAGATAAAGGGTCTTAAAGCCACACTTCAGACTTAAGCACTGGATATTACTTGTAGCATTAACTTGCTAGTATGTTATATGCAATATATGGGGAAATTCTAGTTCCCAATATTTTCTCCAGGAAAAGGTTCATTGCTGTGTTGTTCTTTCTTCCTTAAAAAAAATAATTATTCCCCTACATAACAAATGTTTTGTTTTTTCTGCAAGGCTGGACAAGGTGGATATTGACTCAAATTCATTTACATCGCAGGAACTCAAGGAGGCTTTGGCTAAATTGAAGGAAAATGAAAAGACAAAAAGCACAATGGAGGTAAAGGTCGTCTCCATTTTTAAAGCAATCTGTGTGACACTAGTATAAATGCTCTGTGTAGCTTGCATTAAAAAAATAAAAAAAACATGCTAAGAACTGTTGCTAGAAAACTTCCTGTATTTACCAGAATACAAGATGAGCCTGAATTTAAGACGATGCTTAGATTTTATACACGAACAACTTATAAGACAGGCAATGAAGAAGGCAGTAAGGGGGTAGGCAGATCGGGAGGCAGGGGGTGGCATTCTTGCTGTGACACTGGCAGGCTCCATCCCTGCTTCAACTTGAGGCATAGATCGTAGCTCCCACCTGTCCTCATAAGTCATGCCAGCTCCATGCTGCTATGGGGTCTAGTGGGGGCCATGCTCTGTGGTCCAAGCTTGAGTGGTGATGTAACTTGCCTGCACTGGAGGAAGGGTAAGGGCGGGTGGTGGGAGAGAGGGGGCTGTGGGGCAGGGGCCTGAAGCTGCCAGGAGGCAGTGGAGGGAGAGGCAGGGGGTGCAGAGGCAGTGGGGAACTACAGGTTTTTTTATTTTAATTTTTATTCTTTTGGCCTTAAAGGCCTTTGTATAGTACTTCGGTACTTCTGTATTTATACCTCGAGCATGCCATTTTCTTGATGACTATTTTATTAGTTCTCCCTGAAGAAGGTGCTAGTTTTGGTTTCTTACCATGTGGCCATATGCGCACTTTAGAAGTGCACTCAGGTCACCTGTCCAGCAACAGAACAACTATCTAATGGTGATGTCTTTTGATCACTAGCCACCTGAGCCATATTTGAACCAGAAAACTGGAGGTTGAAATCTCAATATAACCATCCCCACAAGCCACCTAAATGCCAGATGTAAGGTCTTATGGACACTCTTCAAACAGTGCTACAAATGAAAAGGCAGATGTCTCTTATAAACCCAAAGTTAGGACATCAGTAACATTTCTGATGGGATGCTACTTCCTTATTGTTTCTCATTGTGCATCATTATGATTAGATCTGAGTAACAGTGCTGTTCACAAACACTTTTGTGACGTGTGGTGATTTTTCTCGCTGCTGTCCCTTTTGTTTTCCTGCTGTTCATTCTTTTGGCTTGCTTGGTTGAACGTCAGTTTGTTTTGTGTGTCATTTTATCCAATGACTCATTAACACAAAAACATACATAAACAGTGTTGGAAGCAGGGACCAGGACCCAAGACTTGTGAAGGAGTGCCCTCACCTGTGGGCTGCAGTGTCAGACTCGCTTTGGCTTTCTCTGACCCTGTGGATCTTGAGTTCCTTCCTACATAACAGCCCACTTTAAAGAGGAGGGATGGAAGGTGTTCTCCTCCACATACCCCAACTGTTTGATAGCCCCGTGGTGAGGGCACTGTCCTGAGCAGTGGGAGAAGTGTGAATCCCATCTGGTTGAAATGGAAATTTTTAGATGCCAAGGAGTTCTTGGACATCGGAGCAGTTAGTTTTTTTGTTAAGTTCTGTTTATGATGTCACCTTCTGAGTCCCCAAAATTCTGCATTTCTCATCGTGGCCCCCATACATCTGTGTTGGTATTTCCTTTTTGAGGATTATTTGTCTGGCATCCTGCATTGCTGATAGAAGTTGTTTTTTTGTTTTTTGGTGAATGCCATTTAAATGTAAAAAGCAGTAGTACCCTATTGTGGGGAATAACCTGTGTCTTCCAAAAAATATTTGAACACATACTTTGCCTGCAACTGAGCTAAAAACAGCTCTCTCAAATGAACCTGAAACGCTCCATTTAAAATCATTACGCCAGCAGGAACCATAGTCATCCCTGGACTAGCTCCACTGAAGTCAATTGTCCCCATACAGTCTATTGCTAAAATCTTTTTCTTTTGCTGGGGCAAGAAGTGATAGCATTTTGAATGTCAGTACCACGTGTATTGTATTTAGCTATCAGTAGCACAAATTGTACAACTGTCATTAGACTGACAATAACTTAACTCTCCTTGCTAAATTGTTCCCTTTGACAGCGTGAGCCCATGGATTTCTTTTTCTTTCTTTACCTTCTATATTGAAGGTGTCACGCTGAGATTGGAAACCTCTTGGTTTTATAATGTCATTGTCCTACTTACAAAAACAAGTAACCACATCATCCTTGTTTTCTGATGTCTGTTTGTTCCAGAGGCTGCTTCAGAATGGACTTCCTTGTTTCTGTAAATTCTCTTGGCCTCATCCTGTCTTCAGCCACTGTTGTCTTTGCTTCCTTCCTTCCTTCCTTCCTTCTCTCCATTCATATAGCACCAGTCCCTGCTTTGTTCCTCTAGACAGCTAAGCAAATTTGGTGTTGGAGTTGTCTTCTGTGCAGGCACTGTGGCCTGAAAAACTTTCTGGAGTTTTCCTCCTCCCTGACTCACTGTCTCCTCTCATATCTTGGTTAGAACCTTCTTCCTTGCCTACCACGTCTCTCTTACTACCTCTCACTCTAATTTTGCTGAATTCAGCCTCACTTCTTTAGGCTATTGTTCTTATGCGGGATGTTACAAAACAGCTGCAGTGCTGTTTTATCATCAAGCTCTGGTTTTGTTCCCAGTATTTGACAAGCTCAAAACCATTTAAAAAGTGAGTTTAATGGGGTGGGGGGGAGGGAGGACTACAACCCCAGGTGCCTGCCTAAATACTTTGGGTAAATTACAAATTTGGTAACAAATGTGGGTAATTTGGGTGGTTCAGAGTGGATCTGCACTGCATACTGTAATGGAATGTGGAGGTATGTAAACTATCTTTAAACAAACTAGCTGGAGTATGGGAAGGGTCTAACCATGGTAGGAGCTCTGTGCTGGTGGTGTTGGATGACTTTGAGTGAACAAACTAACTCATTTAAAGTTAGCTCAGGTATCTCACTGCTCTTCTGTGAACATGAGGTCTGATGGGCTCTGTTAGATAAAGTGCTCCCACTCTGTCCTGAGCTGCTACACAAGGAAGCAGAGTGCTTTTTAACAGCTGCTGCCTTCCAGACTGGAGGGTAAAGTGCCTGAATTTCATTGCTGGGTGGAAAGGTTTTGAAACATGTTCAGTGATTTTGAGATCCTCTGGGATGAGAGATCATATATAAAAAAATGAGAAGATGCCTTTGGTGTTTATTGAGTAGGGTAAACATTGTGGTGCTTTTACTTTTTCAGCAAATCAAGAATAACTATTCTCCCCACTTCTGTATTTTACTTAATCTTAAGAGGTGTGTAGGAGGTGGATATGCTATACAGAACACTAGCTACAGACTAAGCTATTAGGCATTGTATCTTTTTTTCATACTAGTAACTAAGGGCCATATTTTCAAAGCCATCTGGATGTCTGTTGGGATTTTTTTCAGGAACCCCTGGGCATACTTCTCTAATTTAAATCAAGTGGAGTTAGCTACTAAAGGCGGAATCCACAGTGGACTTAAACATTGTTATGATCAGCATCATGATGTCAAACTTTTTGGGCTCTAGCATCTTGGAATATAATCTAAAGCTCTGAGTCAGGCACCTAAACTCCCTGTAGGAGAATTAAGAATGGGAACCATGACAGCCACAGCACTGAGCAGAGAGCTGCCTCCCCTTACTAATAGAAAAGGCTGAGAATATGGATG